AGCAGATTTCAGCATTATTATTATTATTATTATTATTATTGCTATTACTATTACTATTACTATTACTATTACTATTACTATTACTAATATTATTAACAGCATCCTCAAAACTCGGAAACACAGTGTCTGTCAAAAAATGTCCACTATAGTCACACCATCACCATCCTCGGACTCAGAATCCTATATAACAAATTAATAATAATAACAATAAAAACAAATATTAATAAAAGTTGACAAACAACAAAAACACAACTAATAATATTAATCTAACAACGTACAACTATAATAATAATAATAATAATAATAATAATAATAATAATAATAATAATAATAATAATAATAATAATAATAATAATAATTCTAACAATAGACAACTAATTATAATAACAACTAAAAGGTGTGATCCCTCACTTATAAACGATTGAGAATTTTATAACTAGAGAAATTAATTAAGTAGAGTAATTCAAAACGACCCTCAACAAATTCGTAGTATATAACTATAATTTTTTGAACAACATACTTATGAACAATACAAACAATAAGATATTAAGATTGATAGAACAATACGACCCTCCTAAACAAATTCGATGCCTTATGAACAGTTCATCCAAATACAAACAACATACTTTACAAATGATCTTGGTTATCTTTTAAAGTAAAACAATCGGAATTGATAAAAAAATATCAGTCGTCAACGTGTTTTTTTAAGAATTAAAATTCAATTTTTTTTTCGAAATTTCCAGGCAAACGCCCAGAAATTTCGAAAAACCTAGGGTAGTTCGAAAAAACTAGGCGTTTTAGCCTAGGTTTTTCGAAATTTCTGGGTGTTTTCCTGGAAATTTCAAAAATAGAAAATTAAATAATCGGAATTTCGAAAAAAAAAAAAATTAAATAATCGTACTGTTTTCGTACGGTCCGACGAGCCTCCGGTGACCAACGTAGGTGGTGTTTCCGACCTTTCGTTGTCTTCCATGAGATCCGACGAATTAGGTTTTGCAAAATTTAAATTATTTGTTTGATTTTGAAAATTATAGTGGTTGGTGGTTCAACACGATCGTTGGTGGCCGGTGTGAGGACTAGAGAGAACGATAAAAAAATTTATGTAGGGTAAAAGTGTTAAGTTTATGTAAAAAATAATTATTTTATAATATTTTTATAACAAGGCTACGTACGTCATTTTAGGTTATTTTGCGGGCGTTAGTTAGAGATTCGAGGGCGACGTTTAGCGGTCCACTAATTCTTCTTCTTCTTATTATTATTATTATTATTTGATTTTTTTTATAGATTTTTTACTCTTTTTATAACATTAGAAAATGTGCTAAATAATATAAAATATTAATTATTATCATTAAATATTAGTTATTATTATCAATTAATATTATATGTTAATTATTATTATTATTATTATTATTATAAAATATTAATTATTATTATTATTATAAAATATTAATTATTATATTATTATTATTAAATATTAATTATTATTATCTATAAATATTAGTTATTATTATTAAATATTAATAATAATTATTAATATTATTTTTATTAAATATTTATTTTTATTATTATTAATTATTATTTTTAAGCAGAGTAGGATAGAGCAGAGCAGATTTCAGCATATCAAAGCAGAGCAGATTTCAGCAAAATAAAGCAGAACAACTCAAAAAACAAAGCCTATGTAGTCAATTTCTAACTTAAAATCACAAGTATTCAAACTCCATCCTTGAGATTCTACCCAATCTCTTTCAAACAATATTTTTAAAAAGTGTTAAAAAATAATGACTGATCACGCCTAGTAGCACTGATACATTCTCTATTATTTCATGCATAATATAGTTTAGCACGGATACATGCATTCTATCTAGCTAGTTTATTTACAAAGAAAATTAACAAAAGATAATATATGAAGCATGCATTAAATTTAAAATTAATTAATTAGTGCTCCATAATTTAATAATTAATATTAGCTTCCTACAAAAATGCAAAAAAAAAAAGTTAATAATGCTAGACTTGCTATTGTTTTTGACAAGAAGAAAAGGGATTTCATTAATAAAATATAGCCAAATGGCACTTACATATTCTTAACAAATCAAGAATTCCAACACAAGTACACACCTTAAAACTAAATACATCGTAAATTTGATTAATTAACAATCGCATTAATAAAAAAACTTCATCTGTTGAAGCAATACAATCAGTGAGTTCGCAGTGATTCGACTTGAAATCCTATGATACGTAGTCGTTTAAGTGAAAATACCCATGTGGTCCTCCGGATTTTTGTAGAGTTTATAAAATCCTAGATATTCAATTCTCACCATACAAACATAAAAAGAAAATATAATCAAGAGAAAAATCATCATCTCAACGATGAGATCTATAATCAAGAGAAGCAATGTAGGCTAGGAAAACCTTCCCAAGGGAGAAACCCTAGAGGGAACTAAAAAAACCCTCCCAAGAAGAAAACCAAGCACAACTTGCTATTGTTGATTTTATGCAAATGCATGATAAAAAAATTAATATATACATGTATTCATCAATAATGAACACACAAATTTCATCCATCATTGAGTCCGATTGCCAACTCGTCATCAACCGACTTTCGAAGGGAGCAATCTACTTCTCCGATCTTGACTTTGTGCTAGGAGATATTCTATCCTAGAGTATTTAATCTACTTCTCCGATCTTGACTTTGTGCTAGGAGATATTCTATCCTAGAGTATTTATTTTAATTCTATTGTGTGGTCTCATGTTAAACGCGATGGTAATTTATTGTGTCACGCATAATCTTGCTAAACTAGTTCCTTTTGGGGTTGAACAAGTGTGGGAATTTTATTGTCCAAGTGAAAATTCTCCCTATGTAACTATATGGATACTTTATCACTTGATAATAAACTAGCTTCTTGGTTTCAAAAAAAAAAAAAAAACAAAAATTACATCCATCACATGCATAATATACTACCTCCATTAATTTTTAGTTGCAACAAAAGAATTTTTTATGTGTTACAAATAATTCCCCTTTGTTGCAACTAAAAATTAACGGAGGTAGTATAAGATATGTTAATGTTTCATATAATCATATATATTAATGTTATAAGATGATTTAACTTAATGCATGACCTCGGGAATATATATACTACCTCCCAAAATAAAATGGATGATGCTACAAAAATAAGTTCAAACCAATGTACCCCAAGTTTTGGGGCATTGCCCTACAACCCTAGAATTAGAGTTAGTTGTCCTTAACCACACGCAATCAACTTGTTAACAGGTTAACGAGACCCCCGTGCCAAATCGTCCTCAGAAAACATATAGGTTCAAGACATATTCTAATTAACACTTGAGTTGTTGTAGACCTTGTAGTCTTTCCATCATTTTCATCTAATCACTTTCAATTCGTTCAATTTTCAACTTTTATAATTTCACTTTGAAATATCTTTCGTTCTTTGAAGCTGTACCAATTTGCATGTAATCTTCCCCTCTTGGGTAATTTACTTTATAATTCTATACACTAATTTTATTTACCTTTCACCCCATACACTCTCATTCTACAATATTTTCCCTTTTAATGTAAAATCAAGTAGCATAATATAAATGTAACACGTAGGGTTCCAAACCTTTTATCGTACCAATAAGACAATCGATATATTCTATTATTTAAAAATACTCTATAATATATAAAATTTGATAATTTGAAAGTATTTCGTATTATATATGCACCAAATATAATACTTCCTTTGTTTATTATAGCACCATGATTAAAAATGTGAGAGTTTTTAGGATCGGATGGAGAGTGGGAAAGTGTAAGGAAATTCCTACCCTCAATGTGCCCCTAGTTAAGATTTATCTCACAACGATCTCAGTTGTAAGATACAATCTTTATCAATAATAGATCAAGTATTTTTTATACGTAAATAAAAGTGATGACATGATATTAAAAGTACAAATACAAATATACAAAACCGTCCATATTATTACACGCAGTAGGGTAGTAGCCTTCAAGCAATATATCTTTTTCGAGTACCAAGCTTTAATTTTTTTTTTTTACATCAACGTACTTTTTCTTGTAAACATAAGGAGAAAAGAAATGGAAACATTAGAAGACTCCCCTCACGAGGAAAAACTCTTAATGCAACAACGACAACAACTACAACGTACGTAGATGAATGGACGATGACATGACTTATGAATTATGCACAAGGCTTGGTGCACATGCATCTTCTACGAAAGAACCTGCTGGAATTAGTCCATGTTATCAAATATTCTGTGTAATTTTTTTGTTTTCATTTTTATTTCATTATTTGTGACCTTTACGGTAATACATCACTATAGTGAGGTACACATATACTATGGACTCTATGGTAATTTAAATGAGGAATTGAGGATAGTATAAGTGCGTGCTATAAAAATGTCCACGAGAGTTATATTTAGGTTTAAGTAAAAATAAATAAATAAATAAATAAAATTGTAACGTAGTAGTAATATGAGAAATTAAAGCATTACTTCGTATTAGTTTCCTCTTTGATTCGAAATACTTATAGCCGGATAGCCCTTAATTTTGGGTTGCATAATAATTAAAAATCTATTTTTTCAAAGGAATTATATATTATGGGGAGCTAGAATGTACTACGTAAAACTACTGAATTATCAAGGGAGGAGAAAGAACCTGCTGCCAAAACAAGCAAGAGCACCAGAAAAATTGCCTGCTTCATACTGATCTTTGTTATTATTGATATTCTGGATTGCTATTCGTCGCTCCTTTTTTACCAGGCGTCGCTCCCAATTTTAAGTGAAATGACCATTTTGCCCTTAGCTTATTTTTTGCTATTTAAAGGTTCACCGAGTAGCCATATCCATTCACGAGCATATTAAAATCATTATGGAGCGATTTCACTCAAAATTTCGTTTTCAAAATCCCGAGTTCCAAAATTCCCGAGCGAGGGCAATACAAATCGTTTATTTATACAAATAGTAAATTCCCGAGCCGAATTTACGGGCTTAAGATGTGGAATGACGGCAACGTTCGTACACCGGAGGCATCGTCGGAAGATTCTGTAAGTTTTTTAAATTTTTTTTTTGTTTCTGTTAAATGGACATCCGGATGAAATTTCCGGATGATCCTTGGGTCATCCGGAAATCTCATCCGGATCCTTCGGGGTAGATCCGGATATTTAATCCGGATCTAGGGGCATCCGGAAATTTCATCCGGAAGTAACATCCGGACAAAATATCCGGATCTTCCACGAAGAATCCGGATGAGATTTCCGGATCACCCAAGGATCATACGGAAATTTCATCCGGATGTCCTTAAAAAAGGTTTTTTTTTTTAATGTTTGTTTCTTTTCTTTTCTGTTTTTTTCCATTAGTTTTATTGTTAATTGTTTCCATTACTGTTATTGTTATTTATTTTATGTTTTATTCCATTAGTGACATAAAACCGAAATTATTGTGTAAACTATTATTATTATCGTTATGATTAATTGTGGTATTATTATGATCCATTTTAATATTGTTTCGATAATTTTTGTTTATTACTATTATTCGTTGGTTTTTTTGTGTTATTGATTATTATTATCGCTGTTACGGTTGTTATTATTGTGTTTATTATTATTGTTTTTAATATCGTTATGTTTAATTGTGTAATTATTATGATTAATTTTATTATTCTGTCGATAATTTTGTTTATATTAGTGTTATTGTTAATGTTTTTATTGTTTATATTATTTTTAGTATTGTTGTGGTTATTTTTAATACTGTTACTATTATTGTCTAGAAGTAACGAGTTTGTGTTTTATGTGTGTTATAATTATTTTTTATAGGGTTCGGAGGACGAAGATGCTGCCGACGATGTGAATTATAGTGCGCATTTTGCCACAGACACGCTGTTTCCAACGTTTGATGAGGCAGTTAATTGGGCGTATGTTGTTGCCGTGAATCTCGGTTTTCTTTTGGTTAAATCGTCTTACAACAAAACTAGAGACGGTCGGCCGTACCGGTATTTGAGGTGTGATAGGGGCCGAAAGAGCCAGCCGAGAGATCTTGAGAATGCAATTAGGGTGGACACCAAAACCAAAGCAATTGGTTGTCCTTTCTACATCAAGATTTATTATGTCTTCGTCACCGACAGTTGGAAGATACGGACCAAGAATGATGCAACTGGGACCCATAACCATCCAATGATTGTCTATCCGGAGGGTCATCGTAAGATCAGTGGCTTGAGCCCGGAAGCCAAGAAGGTTGTGCAGGACATGACAAAGTCCAAGGTTGCACCGCGGAACATCATGGCGACAATTGCAGAGCAATTTCCCGAGGATCATCCAAACATCCGACATATCTACAACTGCCGGAATGACTTGAGAGCGGAGATGTCTGATGGGAGAGGAGTTGTTCAGCAATTTCTACATTTGGCGAGAGAGAACCGGTATATTTACTGGGTCATGTCTGATGATGTCAACGTTATGCAGCATGCGTTTATGGTGCACCCGATCACGGTGAACATACTACGGACGTATCCGTATGTGATCGGTATGGATTCGACATACAAGACCAACCGATACGGGATGCCGTTCTTCGAGATAGTCGGTGTGACACCGACAAATCAGAATTTTCTCGTCGGTTATGTGTTCATGCGCAACGAGTGCACGGGAAGCTACCGGTGGGTCCTTCAGAGATTACGAGAGTTGATTGGGTATGATAAGGAGCCGTCGGTATTTCTGACAGACCGTGAGCTTGGACTTTGTGCGGCATTGAGAGTTAACAATGTAACAAATTACAAAATTAACAATAATTATATAGTTACGACAACAAAACAAAAACATACTAACACAAACAAAGCAGAAATGAAATAAAAATAAAAATAAATATAAAAATGCAGAATCAGAACCAACCAAAAAAAAAATTAAAAAAAAAATAATAATTCTGGGAAAAAAGACATCCGGATGACCCATGAACATCCAACAGAAAATTCCGGATAACCCTGGAACATCCGAATTTTTCTGTTTGATGTTCTTGGGACATCCGGATTTTTCATCCGGATGTCTTTTTTCCAGAAACAGGGTATTTTTACGCAATTTTTTTTTTTTCGATTCGATTAACTTCGCAATAACAACAACAAAGACGACAGCAACAATAACAACAACGACTCCAACAACAACTACGACGATAACAACAACAAAAACAATAACAAATAAAACAGAAAAAATAAATCTGGAATAAATCCAGAATTTCTGGATTTTGGGGACATCCAACTGAAATAATCGGATGTCCCAAGAACATCCGGATTTTTCAGTTGGATGTTCTTGGGACATCCAAATTTTTCAATCGGATGTCCCTTTTTTTCCAGAAAATCTCGTATTTTTCCGGTTTTTTTTTTTTTGCGATTTGAGTACCTGCTCGCCGGATAATCCACCGCCGCCGCGACCACCGTACGTCACCCTTAATCGCCTCCGGTCACCCATTGCAAGTCGATTGTGATTTTCCGGTTATGGTTTTTTTTTTTTGGATTTAATTTTTTTTTTTTTTTTTTTTTTTGAGTTTTCAATTTCTGATTTTTTAGAGATTAGAGATTTTAGAGAAGAGATTTCAGATTTTAGAGACAGAAAATTCAAGTGTGAAGTGTGTAGTTCGGGAGTCTCGAGGCTATTTATAGTCTAGGGGCAATTTCGGAATTTCAGGCAAAAAAAGCGAGCGACGCTAAGTAAAATGGGAGCGACGAATAACAACTCCCTTGATATTTTGTAAAAGAGCACTAGCCTTTAGTTTAGGATAGTGTATGTTTGGTGATGCTAATCTACACAAACCAAAACCTATTTATAGAAGAAAAAAGTTGAAAATTCAAAAAAATCTATGCCAAAAAAATATTTGTACGTATAATAATACTCATTTGTCTGACGTGGAACATCATTATTATCTCAACCAAAATGCAGTATTACCGACACAGGAGTTATCCTAGCAAATGATAAGAAGGTGACTTATGTTGTTGTGACAGATGTAAAAGATATTAGCGGAAATCAATCAATTTTAAAAACGTGTAGACTTATGTTTTCGAACACCAATGTGTTAGCTACTTATCTATGTCTCATGCAAGTGAGATAACAATTTTTTTTTTTTTTTTTTTATATTGCTCTTGGGTCCTAGAAATTAAGAAATACCGATCATAGGGTTTGTGGTGGATTAGAATTAGTATAAGAATTGACCCTCGCAAATTGAATGGAAGGCTGATTCAAAGCATATTATAACATTGCATAAACTCTATTCTTTTCACCCTAGTGTAATCTTACTTCCTCTATTAGTTTTGAAACATCGATTACAGTTAACCTAACACCGAGCATTAATATCTCTAATCAAGGGCGGAGCCAAGGGAGGTATGCTTGGCCCATGCTCAAAGCTTGTATTAGATTTTAAAAAAATAAAAATAAAATAAAATAAACCTAAAAGTTATAGTAGATAATACTCCCTTTGTCTCTATTTTTTTTGCCTTATTTGACTGTGCACGGTCTCCAAAACGCATCTTAAAACGTCTATATCTTTATTTCCATACACATAAAAATTATTAAAATGTGATATTAATAAAATATACATTGAGACGAATTTAACAATACCAATCATGACTATATTATCTTTAGTAGATTAACGGTAATTTATGGTCAATGTTTTCAAAATTTGACTCAAAAAATGACAATGAGGCAAAAATAAAGGGACGGAGAGAGTAGATACCGTAGATACTTGAGGTTGATTTTATAACTTTAAGGAAGACATTCACTCATGGTTGGCGGGCCTTGAGTTCAATTCCCCTAACTTGTTTATTTAAAATCCATTTTTGGGCCCTTTATACCTCTCCCTTTCTTATTTATCTGAAAGGCTTAGTAAATGACCCAGTCCATGAAAAAAAAAATGGGTCCATCAAATTATCTAATTATGTACTTGTAAAATTTATTAAAAGATGATATTACTTGATTGATTATGGAAGATAACCATTGAATCAAACTTTGTGTTTGGAGTGATTCTCAGTTAAACTCCGAACAAAGTTTCTTAGAGAGAGAAAAAATATACTTTAAAAAAAACTTTATGGTTGAATTTTAAACACAATCATTTACAATAAAATTTAAATCGTTTTATTTAATTTTTTTCTATCAAACATATGGGACTTCTTGGTCTTAAAGACTCAGTGGGTTGAATAAATGAGGGATGAGGAGGATCACACAGCTGCACAAGTATGGTGCGACTAATTACTCCTATACAACACAAGAAAACAAAAGGTACAATTTTAAATCCCTATTGTTTGGGTCCAATTTAGTCCAATTGGGTCTAGGCATTAAATGATCCAATTAGAAGCCCAAGGTCAAGGTTCAACTCTCCAATTGTGCTAAAGTCAAAGGTCAGCCCTCAAAACAAGTCAATTGGGCTAAGGCCCAACTTCTCCATGTATGAAGAGGTATAAAAGCCATCAATATTCAGATATACACATTGATTGACATATTCTCATAACTCAAAAAAAAGCCTCAAGCAACAAATTCTCTTGCATAGTGTTCTCTTTCTACACATTGTACTGACTTTAGCATCGGAGGGGCCTTCCTCGGCAACACCCCCGAGGCTAGTTTACGTGTGTTTACTGTGCAGGAAACCTTCAGCCCAACATAACTTGGACCGAATCTAGTCTTCTCCGTTTCAGCGGACCTTCGGCAAGGTCCCATTGTTTTCACCCGAAACAATTTGGCGCCGTCTGTGGGGAAGACTTTCAAAAATCTTTAAGCCAAATTTCTAACCAAGATCATCTTGCAATTATCTTAGTAGCAATGGCTAAGAACCGCAAGAGCAAAAGCTTCCGTCAAGGAGCAGGCGAAAAGCCTAAAACCCCTACACCATCACCCTCGCCGGACCAGAACTCTCCCAAGGGTGCCAGCTCGGGGGGAGGTTCATACAAGGAGGATTCCCTTTCTCCCGTAATTCATGACTCTCATCATAGGCCGAGTCACTCTCGGTCTAGCAGGGGTGAGTCCGATCATAGGACACATTCAGTGCCCCAAAGCCAACCATCGGCTGTGCGCCCTCATTCCCATACTCGGCCGAGGACCCCTTTGACGGGGCCCAGCTCGGAAGAGGTGGCAAGAGCGCTGACAGTACTCATGGAGGCGATGAGGGCACAAAATATGCCACCACCTCGTGATCGAACTCCTCCGCATACCCGGCATCAGCGGAGGAAGTTAGACCATGATGGTGGGAAGCTTCCTTCCTTCCGGGAACTGGAAGAGTGGGAAGAGGATACCTGGAAGAATGAAAAAGAGAGGAAAAAGAACCCTCAATTTTTAAAAGGATCCTCATCCTCACGACCAGAAACGCATAAGAGCAGCAGCTCAGCTTCTCGGCCAGAATCTACTCACCGAGAACCTGAGACGGTTCGCCGAAGCGTCCTCGACCGACTCGGCGGCAAGGAACCGAGTGTGCGCAGTCGCCTCTCGTTCCCTGCAGCCGAGGCCCAGACTTCCCAGCCAGGGACGAAAACCACTCCTACCTCTCTAAGAGGGCGGAGCGCGGTCCCTTCGGCCAGGAACAAGGGCAAGGCCGTTATGCTACCCGCCAGTTCACCATTCGAGCAATGAATACTGGAAGAGCGCGTACCCACGGTTAAAATACCGTCGCACATCACATATGACGGGACCTCGGATCCGAAGGATCACGTGGCCTCGTATGAGACTCATATGCATCTTTGCCCCAGATCCGAAGCGACTTGGTGCAAATATTTCCCAACCACTCTCAAGGGGGTCGCGCAAGCGTGGATCTCCAAGGGAGTAAGGCAAGGCTCCATAACAGGGTGGGATGATCTGTCCTCCAAGTTCAGGAGCAAGTTTTCCAAGGCAAACCGCCGAGAGAAGACTACTGCAGAGCTCATGAGTCTACAACAGGGGGAAACCGAAAGCCTCCGAGACTATCTGACCCGTTTCAGTAACGAGTCATCTAGCGTCTCTCAGCTGGACCAAGGGCTAGCCGTTTTTGCAATGCAGAATGGCCTTCAGCCCGGAAAGTTCCTAGACATCATGGTCATGCATACCCCGCAGACCTTGGAGGAAGCTCTGAATGCCTCGGATAAGTTCATCCGAGCCGAAGAATGGAACAAAGCGAAAACCCAACCTCAATTTGGGGGAGGGAAACAAAGACAAATACCCTTGTCTGAAGGCCAAGGCCATAAGGCAAAGGGAAAGTCAAAGGCCTCGGAGCAATCTTCGGCCAGCGACCCAAAGAAGGAAAGATCTGCCTCATACACAGGCAGATACGAGTCCTACACTCCGCTCTCTCTTCCACGCGCCAAAATTTACTGCGTGACGAAGGAGGAGCAGAGTTACCGAAAGCCGAGACCACTCCCAGAGTGGTATCAGCGAAAAAATAAAAATCAGTGGTGCGAGTTCCACGAGTCTTCGGGACACAACACTGAGGAGTGTATCCAACTGAAGGACCAGATAGAGGACATGGTCCGGAAGGGATACTTGAAAAAATACATCGCGGATCACCGCGAGAAAAAAGAATCCGAGAAGTCAGCAAAGGACTCTCGGCAAGACCTCGACTTCCCCCGGAAAAACAGTAAAAAGCCGGAGGGGAAATTCCCTCCGATCAATGTTATCTCGGGAGGAATATACTCTCGGAGGGAGCACAAGCGACACCTTAGAGCTTTGACTCACCAGGTGAACAACGCTGACATTCAATCTCCCCAGTCGCCGGTGCCGAACATGACGTTCACAGCCGCCGACTGCCGGGGGATTACGTTCCCTCACGAGGATCCGTTGGTGATCATCGCCACGGTGGCCAACCACGACGTCAGTAAGGTCCTTGTTGACGGTGGCAGCGGAGCAAACAT